CTGTCAGGCTTGCCATGAAGCACCAAACACACCTGGAGTAGCAGCTGGCAGGCCAGAGGGAGAGACAGGCATGGGAGCAGCCAGCTGTCTGGACCAGAGTTCCACGTGCCACACTTGGGGAATGGCTGTTCCATCACCTGGGTGAAACAGAAGCTATCTCAGAGGGCAAGGACATTGCCAGAAAGCTATGGGGTTTCTTTGCCTCAGGCTCCATCCCAGAGAGTGTTGTGGAGAAACTTACCCCAGGCTCTCTGTGCAGGTAGCAAAGATAAGGCACTGTCAGAGACTGAGGTGTCAAAAGAGGAGGTTCTGGAACAAACATCGTTTACACTACACTAGCGCTGCCTCCCAAACTCCTGAAGGATGCAGCTGAGCCAAAATATTTAAATATAATTTAAAACCATTCAAGTTACCTACTATAAAGGAGGGGCTGAAGGGTGTTGTATTAAAAAAGATGGTAGGGAAGAGGCAGAGATTACAGACCAGCTTCCATACCAGCTACATGGTTGAAACAGGCATTAAAGCAATCCGAACCTAGATGAGGACAATATGAGGGGATCTGACCAAAGGAACCTACTGGGATTCTCTAGAGCACCTCAGAAGAACAGTGGATGAAGAAGATCCAGGTGACATCCTTTATTCCGACTTCCAGAAAGCCATTGGCAAAGCTCCTCCAAGAAGCCATGAAGGGAACCAAGACGTTGTGGGGTGAGTGGTGAAGTGTTGTTATGGATTGGATACTGGGAAGGGACAGGGCACACAGAGCAGAGCTCAGTGGTCAGTTTTCCAACACAGAAGATTGGCAGTGGGCTGACAGTGGGAAGCAGTGTGGTCTGATGAATGGAGCACTGGCCTAGGAGCCATCAAATGAAGGGTCTGCTCCTGACCTGCTCTGTGACCTTGGACAAGTCGTTTCCCCTCCTGTGTCTATTTGGATAATAAGCTCTATATACAGACAAGAATATCCAGAGTAAATACTAAACATCTCCAGACAGGTTTTGGAGAGGATATGAAGCCTCAGGCTTCGGAACTTAACGATTCAGGGTTAAGAGAAAACTTTTCCTGGAGACAGATAAGCCTATAACTGCTCACTGCAGAGCTTCTTCACTTTCCTCTGAAGCATCTGGGCTGGCTACTGTTGGAGGCTGGACTAGATGGACCATGATCTGATCCAGTCTGGCAATTCCTATATCCTCATGTTCTTTGGGGCAGGGCCTGTCTCTAACTATGTGTCAGCAGCCAGAACAAAGGGGCCTAATCTTGGTTGGGGTCTCTAGACGCTGATCAAATACCAATAACATATAATATGGAGTAGAGTTATATTATGAAGGTCTATCAGCTGCATTTGTACATGCAGACAGAGAGATGTTTAATGGATCTGACCCAAGTTAACCATTTGGAAGGAGGTTAATTAGCATCCCTGATGAATGTGTAACAAACACCTCTTGTGGATCTGCCCACAAAGAATTATGAGGCTGGGGAGGGGAGATGTCTGTCATGCAAACAAACCGCAAGAACTGGGTAATCGCCTTTGTGAGGGGTGTCAATGGCTGAGGATCACTAACCCAGGCATATCAAAAGAACTGAAACACTGATGAGGCTCTTGAAATACAGATCACAGCAGGGAAAGGCCCTGGGGGTTAAAGGAGATGGATGGTGGACAGCTGGGCTCTGACAAACAGAATGTCAGGCCTCATCTACACAGGAAAGATTTTTTTGGTTTAGGCTAAGGCCTTGGCTACACTTGGGAATTCACAGCGCTGCCGCGGCAGCGCTGTGAAGCACAAGTGTAGTCACTCCGCCAGCGCTGCGAGAGCTCTCTCGCAGCGCTGTATGTACTCTACCTCTCCGAGGGGAGTAGCTTGCAGCGCTGCGAGCGAGCGTGCAGCGCTGCAGGCGCTGATT